ATTTTGGTCCTGCATTTCATCTCTGACCCAAGCTTATTAGCAAGCAGGCCATACTTTCGCTTTTTCTCGGTCTCAACTGCTGTCAACCTGCCAACCGCTATCAGTATTACTTCACGTCGCTTCTTATCGTGTATCATGATATCCCGTCGATTTGCATTATGACCTTCTTGCTTTTTCCCCATTCAGACAAATACTTCTTACTATTTTGTAAAGGTCTGGATGCGACGAGGTGCACTTCTTAATAAAGAAGTTATAGATTTCATCATGCCCTGCTGCCTTCCAACTGGGCAAATAAACATCTTCTCAAAATCGGCTTCAGATGGGAAATTATCGCGCAATTCGTAATCTTGAACGAATTCTTCCAGATATTCGTTGTGCCCGATTATAATCATTTTTTCCATCCCGGAGCTTCACATCATACCCCAAAAATCCCTGGTTTCTTCTGTATCTACATTGTAGCTAATAAGCTTTTCTTTGGTCAGATTTCTATGGAACTGTGTTCTATACAGTTCAAATCTGGCGTTTTGTATTTTGAATGCACATGGGGTCTCATAACTTTTTATTTTACTTTCGTAAACTCTCACACGGTCTGTCAATATGCTTAACGCTTCATAACAGTCACGCTTAAGAGCAAGTATGAGATTCATCTCCGTCATATACTTCTTGGCCTCTTCTAAGTCTTTACTTCCCAGTTTTTCACAGCCAACGTCCGTTTTATGAGGGATTTGTGGAAATTCAACAAGCTTACCTTCTTTCCTATGCTTGTTTTTCCTTCGATAGCTTCTTCTCTCGCCCTGTCATCTCTTCGTAGCATTGCTGTGCCACCTGGAACTGCCTTGCAATATTCGTCATTGATTTGGAGGTATTCGGTGTTGCATATTCATTTTCTACTTGGTTCACTACTCCAAGTATAAGCGGGTCTACGCTCTCCGATGTTATTTTCAGCGTCCACTTTGTCTGGCTTATCTCAAGTCCTTGTGCCTCTTGCATCAGCATATTTCTCCTTCACATCTAGATAAACCTTAGACTCGTGTAGTGTATTTTACTCGAAGTGCGCATTTTGTGAATTGACACGTCTCGTGGACTTCTCCAAGAACCGTTTCTGACAGACGACCCGCAATACTGATCACAGAATTCGCTTCTTTCTTCAGTTCTTCGAGGGTAATAGCACACGAAAACTTCTCGCTATACAGAGAACGACACAATGGCCATCTCCCTCTCGGCATCCATCCAAATTGTCAAGAACCGCTTTCAGCACATCTCTTAGCAACTTGGTTTGTGGGGTTTCAATTCCACGGACTATTGCTTCAAGCGTTATTATTTTGCTGGCATCGAGTTTCGGTACACTGGCAATATGTTTTTTTACATTCTTCACACAGGTTTTCCAACTGCATTTGTTTTTCTATTGTTTTCATTTATGATTCCATGACGGACTTTTTCCTTTCACTCCCTATTTAAGTTTCTTGAACACAGCCGCTCAGAGTCAGTTATATTTACAATTATATATAAAACTTCATTCTTTTTCGCATAACACTTTATTTTTATTTTATAAACTTTGTGAAACCTATCTATATTCTCAGATTTGTCAGAGTTCCACGCTCGTATTTCTTGAACTTATTTGCACTATATGTTCCTATCTCTGATAAAAGAGGCAAAAAAAATAAAACTTACAAGTTTCAAAAATATTATAAGAACAAACCTAAAACTCAGTTACAAGTTTATAGCATAGAAACGATTTAAAGAAAATAAAACTGAATTCTTTCTGGGTTGAACAGAAATTAAATTTACTTGAAAAAGTATTTCATACCAAAGTCAGCAAATTTTTTAAATTCATGTCGATGTTATCAATACTGCTTGTATCATCTCGTGAAATATTTCTAGCAAATTTCCCTTTCTTTGAGGCAGAATATAAGGCTTGTGCTTCATTTCGATCACGGATCCACGAATTGCCAAAACAAGTTATTACTGTAGATTCCAAAACCTATACATCATTATCTACAAAGAGTCTTGAAAAACTTTCAAAATTCTTCTTTATGACTGACTACAAAATTTATCCAATGCAGTATAAACATCTGGCACAAGTTTCTCTGAGACTGAAGGTAAAAATGCTAGCTTCTTACAATTAAAATCATTAGTAACCAATGACTCGATACAGTTTTTGAAGCGATAAGCTTCACTATATTTGCAAACCTTCAGAGCTGTAATTATGATTTTCGTATTCAATTCCAAACAAGCAATGTTGTTCATTCGACTACAAATACCAGGAAGGAATAATCTCACCGTGCACGATGACTCATGACATGGCTTAGTAAGTTTGAGTAATGCATTTCCTGCCATAATCCTAAAAGTAATAAATTCTTCCATTCAATGCGATGGACTTCTCTTAAGATCTAGGAAAATAACTAACACTGACTTTTTAAATAAACAGACTCAGAATCAATAACATTTATTTCCTGTATAAACACGACATAAGGTGTAAAAAAATGAAAAATTACCTTAACGATAAATCAGTCGTTTTTAGGCAGAACTCTGAGATGAAGAATGAGATCAAAAGTGCGAGTTCACTACTATACTGCTTAGCAAACAAATCTTAAACATAATTCTAATAACCGAATATAAATGCAAATTTCGACATAGAAAATATAAAGGTTCTTTAAATGAACTGTTCATTGAAATACCTTTTCTGTTCATCTCTTCCTCAAACATATAATCAACATAGTGTGCCAGATATGTTACTATTCTTCCAACTGTAACTACATTATTAATTTGACTATCCGCAAGTATAATACATCTGCAACTAATAGATCGAAAAAACGAGCTCAAGTTTCTGCAGTCCTGAAATTACAAGAAATAAGTTGTGTCGATCAATACATTTCAACAAATAGAGCTTTAAAAAATACGTAACGAATCTGCAAAGTAAAATGCAACAAAAAGTTAAGTTTCAATAAAACATACGATAAGAGCAAAAATGAAGCTAAAAATAAATATCAATAAGAAATGATATCAGACTGCAACACGATCACAATCTCAGTGACATCAGATCTTTAGCTATTGTGATTGCACTTAATATAACAAAACCAATTAGTACGACTATCCGTCTACATTCCATTTTTCGTGCTCACATCAACAGTTTTTCTTTAAACAAAATACTGAAAATACTAACTTACTTTAATATTTAATTTTTTGAAAGTAGTGTTTATTATCTGCAAAGCTGAATCAAGAACAAGATTATTACATGTTGCGCCTTTCACAGATTCGTAGAAAATTTTGAAAGCCGTGCCAAAAATAACACGATAAAACTCATGCTCTTTCCCCTGTACAGCCGATTCATCAAGTTTACCTAAAATGATAAATTCTTTTAAAAAAGTGATTTTTGCAATAACATATTAAGCATGCAAATGTAAATGGTCTAGTACAGATGAAAAAGAGGAAACTTTTTTCATTAAATAAATTTTTCGGTAAGACTATGTATCAAAGGCAATAAAAATTCTTCGAAAAGAATCTTTTGCTTCTCCACGCATTGACTTACATTCGATAAAATTTAGAAGTTTCGTCACTGATTCTCCACAAAACCTGTTTCGTGAAAGTTCATCAAGAATTTCCAAACACAATAACTGGGAAACGAAATAATCATCTTGAATGTGCTGAGTTTTCACGAAACAATTAATTTCCATGACCTACTAAAGATTATTTGAAGATTTCATCTGATATAAAATTATGTGCTTCCATGTTTCCTTTTCAATATAATTTATAATTGTCGAAGAGACTGTAAGCAAGATATGATCAGTACTAACAAAGTTCTGACACCCTAACGTTTACAAGCAACGAAGTAGTTAACAAGTGCCTGTAAACCTTATACTCCCAAACGCACTACCCCTTGTAATTTCATATTGGGAAGTAAGACTCCACATTAATAAACTATGCAATGGTTAATGCAATTTCGCGTTTCTCTTAGGTAAAAAATTTCTCCGTGGAAATTTGGTGAATAAGCTCTACACGGAAGGACTGAACTGATTACTTTCTGGCAGTACAAGGTAGTTAGATTGGACTTATCTTATTTTTGTATCAGGTTATAGTTTTTCTGTTTGTAAAATAATTTTATGAAAAAAATATTATAACTGTTAGAAAATAAAGAAGTTGAATGCACTATCCGAATATGGTTACTAGTATTAGATTTAGATAAATTTTGGGTACTTTTTGTTTTATTCAGTTATTCTAAATTAGAATCTAATGGCTTGAGCTATATTTTGCTAGTTCTCATATTTTAGAATTATTGAAAGGAAGCGTATGTGCGCGCTTGATTTCAGTCCCTACAATGTTATGAATGAACAAGCAAGTTAGTTTCTTCACTCGTGTTTATTTATAAAAGAAGTGGTGGTAGATAAAAAGCATTTGTATTGGATGACAGATCATCTGAGGAGCTTTTAATCAGGTGGTCGTTCCGTTTTGTCTTGTCGTTGATTGCCTGATGGTAGACCACCAATAAAATGCTAGTACTTTGTCGTGGGTATGTCATGTAATCATGAAAGCACTGTTCCTAGAAGCTATTTGAAAATTAACCTAAAAGTAAACGAAGAAGCTTTGCAAGTACTTTTACTGATGATTACTTGAGATTCGATATGATTAATTTTGTGATTAATGTTACTTTCGTGATTACTCAAGGTATTTTGTTGCTATTGCTATAGGTATTAATTTGTGTTTGTAAAGATTCATTTAATTTTCTTTGCATACACTTTCCTCGTTATGTTCTTTGAGCACATTCTCTGTTATGATCAAGAGTTGTTAGAGTTGAACAGTTGTTATCTGTCGTGTGTTCTTTGAGAGTGGTATTCGATAGTAAAAAAAGAAAGGGTGCGAAAGAAGAGTATATAAATTGAGTAAGGCTGTTTTTGTTCATTTATTCTGAGTGAGAACCGAATTTTATCAGAGTTGTGATGTTGCAGTGGCCTATTACGTATCACGAACTGTTGTCTGTCAACTTGTCAGTCGACCAGAGCAGTTTTGCTTTGCTCATGGAGACTCCCTGCGTCGAGTCTTCTAGTAATTAATTTATTAAAAATAGCTTCTGGTCCCCATTTTTTTTATAATGAATTAGAACAGTTTGTTCTCATCGTTTTCTGTTTCATATACAAAAACAGTTTTAAATAGGAAATCTTATACATGGACAGAAATGTATTTGTATACCTTATGACCGTTACCTAACTGCAAGTGTTTTTTTCCTGCTCAGAAACTAGTCACTCATCGATTCGACATGAACACGTCACGCTCGGAAATAGCTTTGCGATCATTCATTTACGTGCACAGTTGCTCTCTTTCTTTTTCTCAGTTTACATTTTTGATAAAAATTATCGTTACAGCATATGTTAGAGTAACTTCATGCACTTCTCTCCTTTTTCATGTCATGAATTGATCCCTTTTGAATTTAACTGGATTTATTGTTTAGTTAACTAAATATGTATTTATTTATTTTGGTTTTTTGTTGAGGAGTCCACGTTTTGAAATTTCGTTCGCCATTAATCAGTATATTCTTAATATTTTTGACTTTGGTTTGTTATTACTATTGTCCTCTGATTTGTGTAATTTTTAGATTTTGAGATCAAGAAACTTGAAAAATTGGAATATATGTGTAATAATAAAAACGAAGCTATTTCGAGTGTCTAATATTTTTAGATGAGGTCTTGCAGAAAATGTGCCCAAGAAATCCTCATCAAGGTAAGTTTTATGTAATCTGTTTTCATTCACTTCTCTTTTTGTCTTATTCTTGGAATTATTTGTGATTCATATTGATGACTACTTAGGAGGCTAGCGCGTTTAATAAAAAATGTTTGATAAAAATCGTAAAGTATCTACGATAAGCTTTTTTAATGTTCTTTTACTGTGCTGTACTTGAACTTTTCTATATTTTGTCTTTTATGATCACCAGTGCAATGATTTTTGTAAACTGCATAACCAGGCGGATGATACAATAACTAATTTTGCAGCGTTGGTGATTGGGAAGTGTGTCATTTGTGGAGAAGATTCAACAGGAAAGCACTATGGTGTTACCGCTTGCCTTGGTTGTAAGACATTTTTCAGAAGGTTTGAACTTCAATTATATATGCATATTTACATCATGGCAGTGATCAAATGAGAAGCTTTCAAGCGTCTTCTTGAGCACTGTCGATTGGATATATGTTCGCCATGACCAGATATACTAGTTCCTTCGCGTACCATTTATGGAAGTTCGTTATCATTATCACGAATGAAGGCGTAAAGATGAGAGCTGATGCACGTTAGAACAAATCTAAGACAAGTGCTGATCGAATGCTTCACGATAAGAGACGGGGTAAACTTTACCCCTGTAAATCCTAATGGAGATTGGCATCAATAGTCAGGACAAGTTGATAACAGTCGAGATTGAAGGAAATCAAAAATATGATATATTGGCTAATAAACTTGGGGCATAAATGGAATGCAGAACAAAAATGATTCCATATGTGATGACTTGGGGTAGGGCAGTAAAACGCTGCGCGGAGGAAATCAATATATCTGGTCATATGTGATCGTGCTGAGGCATATTTTCAGTCGATAATGCTCAAAAAGCTCGAAAGCATTTCATTTGATCATCGCCGTAGATCTCACGAGTATGTAGCAACCGAGATCAGCACAACAATCTACGCGCATAACAAGTACAATCAGACAGGTGGAATACGATTTAGCACCAAAATCATTAAAGATTTGCCGAATATATATATATATTCGGCAAATCTGATTCTCTAATCAGAAATGACAATAATAGGAAAACAAGTTAGGTTGTGAAAAGCTCCGTGAAGCGTGCGAGAGAGAGCTCTGCCAGTATACCGAAATCGGGTGCCAGCACTCGTCTGTGGAGTCAGGATTTCACATACCAGCTGGCCTGGAGAGGAACTGGAAGTGGTCCTTGATTGCTTCGGTAGAATGCCGAAAGTGGATGGCTGCTGCGTTGTTTCTTGTATATCGAGAAGTTCGTGCAATTATCCTCTAGAAACTGAAGAAGCGAGCGAATTCTGCTATCACTAGTCCTGCAGGTTATCCATGCTCGCAAAAGCACTTCTTAAAGTTCTAGTAAATTTTGTCAATACATGGCACACAAACTTGAGGAAAATACGCCAAGCTTAATATTTATCTGGTCATAAAGCAGAAGTACCTTGTACTGAGCAAAAAAACCCAAGGACGCGAGATAGATCAGACAAAGTAAACGCAGAAAATAATCTCGGGAAATGTTGACCTGCTTATACTTGATGCGGTAAACCAAGGGATGAGTGAGTATGCCACACAGAATCCTCTCAAGTCAATAATTTTATGCAATGCAGCTCGGGTGACCCAACGGTGACCTATAAAGACATTAAAATACGAGAGAAAAGGCCATCGAGATGGAAGCAGAAACTTTCGGAAAACCTCATAGAGCGATATGTGGCCGGTAGGACGCTTGGAGGTAAACATCTAAGGGAGTCGAATCAGTTACGTTGTCCCTTGCGCCGAGTTCTGTACAAAATCTAAGCAGAATTTGTTTGGAGGGACAGGATCCATGGTTCTACAAAGGAACAATGTAACTGATCCCACAAGGTGTTCAAATATATCTAATCTATATATATATATATGATTGAACAGGTTTTTTTAGGGCAGTAATCCATCAGCAAGATATCAAATGTAAAGGATTGGAGTGTTGCGAAGTTGAAAAAGGTGCTAGAAAAGCTTGCAGAGCTTGCCGGTACAAGAAATGTCTTGAAATGGGAATGACTAAAGAAGGTTCCTTATTTTTTTCTATCTAAACCAATAGTCAGGTTCTTTGCCAATATTGTGCATGTTTTTTAATGTTTATATTGGTTTTCATCTGTATAATTAAAAATTACTCGAAAGTAGCTTTATTTTTTCTAACAGCACTGCAGCCACGTCGAGACTTAATTGGTTGTCGGAGATATCGACAGTGTCATGAGCAACAAACTCCCGTTGGTTCTCATTATTCTATCTTCAGAGAACCATCATCAAATATGAGTTTAGTTGAGTTCATTTCAAAGCTCACACTTTTTGATAGAGAAATTCGAGAACGAAAGTTTTATTTGATGCGAGCAAAAAATGATTCAAGACTGTTGGCAGAGATGGTTGAACAGAGTAGTCAGAAAGTGAGTCGCTTGTTGATATTTTTTGTTATACGGTTGTACTCATCAAATACTCTCCGTACCTGTCTCTTTTTTCTCTTTATTATTTTGATTCCATAGAATGATTACAAATTTGTCCGGAGATTTCGCAGGTTAGCAGATAGCCACTCCGTTTGCCCACTGTTTAGTTTATAGTATCACAACTTAATGGATCGTTCACTGCAGTTATAGCTTCTGGCATCCGCAAATAAAGTTCAATGATCGATTTATAAAGCCATAGAAGCCTCAATATATGAAATGTGAGGTAAAAGTTAGCATGGAAGAGGAGGTGTAATTTCTTTCAATTTCAAATATTCATTTGATAATTTGTTCGATATCTATATTCAGTGATTGTAAAATCCATATCATTCCAATATCAAATTTTAAATAAATTTTACAGCAATCGACGAGTTTTTTTCAAATAGGTCATAAACAGACTTATGAGTATGGCAAGCGATATCGCTAACGTGACTCATACAGAACTGTTGCTGATGTTGGAATGGGCTAAAAGTGTGCCCTGTTTCACCGAGCTTCCTCTAGCTGATAGATTGTCGTTGTTGAAATGGTAAAGTTTTATCTATTTTATGCTTCTGCCGCAAAAACTGATCGGTTTTTTTTTGTTCGAAGTTTCACGTTCTTTATTTTTGATTGCTTCCTCAGAAATATGAAATAAAACTTGAAAAAATTGTTTTCTTGAGTAGAATTTTTTAGTTTTGCCATCCATTATCTTATTCTGGAGTATGGCTTTTATACTGCACAACTTGGCTTTGAAGATGTTTGGTTGATAACAAATGGTACTTGTATGCCACGAAATATTGATGAATTACCAAAAGACTTGAAGGCAAGTTTACCTTTATTTCTTTTCCTATTTAGCTAAGTTTTTTAGACTGTAGATGTATGTATTTGATGGAAGTCACTAGTGTCTATACTGTCTCTTCTCGCAGTCTACTTATCTTTGACTTTCTATGCAGCTCATTTGTTCATCCTTGACTAAATTTTTTTTTGTTCAAACGAGAATATATTCAATTCATTAGGTTCCAAGGTCATTAGTGAAACTTTCAACTTTTAGTTAATTGCACAAAGTGCATTGAATAATGAAATTTCTGTGCATTTATTGTTAACGTTGAGATTAGTATATCTATAAAGTCATAATTTATTCGCACACAGAATTGCAAAAGCGTAATTATTTTGTATGCATAAACAAATATCCGTTGCTTGCTCCATTTTATGCATAATATCAGTAGTTTAGGAATCAATTCCAGCGGATCGTAAATGGCGTCAAGAGAAACTTTATAAGCAAATGACCGATATATGCATTGATGAAGTTGCTATTCCTTTGAAGAGATTAAAGTTGATGCCTGAAGAACTTGTAACACTGAAAATTATAATGCTTTTTCGATATGGTAATACTGGTTATGAAAGTAATTTTTTGCCTCTTGCCGCCCTTAATTTATCAATATCTTAGCTGTCTTCCCTCTAATTTTTCAATCAGCTGATTGTGCTTACCATCTTATCTATGGTGAAGATTAAATTAGGGGCGAAAATTTGTACATTTTTGTTTTATTTGCTTCTTTTTTGTTCTTAAATTGTAGAATTTTATGTGAGCACTGTATTTAATACATAACCAAATTTTCTCAAACGTAATATTAATACAATCATTGGTTTGTCAGGTGTTGCGTGCAATAAGTCCCTTTTATTTATCAGGTGAAGATTCAGTGATTTCAAAGGAAACAAGCAAGCAAATAATAAAATGTCGTAACAGAATTGTGGCGGCGTTGTTTGCTTTTTATCGCTCTATTGGGTTTCCGGATTACCCAGGTATTTCTGAAGTTTTTGAAACCTTCCAATTGTTTAGTATTATCAAAGAATTATTCGTGTGATGGAATCCAAACCATATGAAATAAAATGAAGGAAAGTTGAAAACTTTCCGATCCTTACTCTATTTTATGTATTAGACTTTTTTCTTAAGAAATTCGATGCATTGAATTATATGCTACTTCCAAGTAATCTCTGAGCTATGAACTGTGAAAAATTCTGTTGTAGAACGCTTCGGTAATTTGATTCTGGCAATATCTGGAATAATATCGGCTGCCTCAGCGACCATTGAAAGTTATCAAATTATGCGTTTGTTCAAAATTGTAACTTTCGATCACATATCTGAACAACTTCTTTTCAATATTCCGCAAGCACCATAATTTTGTCTAATTAATAATATCCTTTTGTCGGTCTGGAAAATTTAACTGGAATGTTTCAAGTGCTTTAATTGGATCTTTAAACGTTGGATATGCAAAATGTCCTTAAGTTTAAAAGTAACTAGTTCAGCATAGACTTTTTTTTTGATTTTCTCAAAACATTTTCAGTATATTAGCGCCGTCATATGATACGGTGTAACTAGCGCAACTTAGAAATTTTTTAAGTAATTGATTCTACTTTTTTTTAGATTTTTTCGTTGTTGGAAGCAAGGGAAGTTAAGAGTAGTTTCACTTTTGTAAAGCTATTGGTACTTCATTACGAAAGCAATATTCTGTTAATTCTTATTCAGAAATATTGTTTTAATGGGATGTGATATTCTTTTCTGTTTTTTTTTTTTGCATTAAGTGATATATAGTATGTGATATCCGAGAATTAGGTGTACCGCGTATATTATGATCTCTTGTAACCACCTGAAGATGAAGATGGGACTTTTCAGTGGGGGTCAAACTTCACTCACTGTCTTGACATCAATTATAATTACTTTCATTTTGTTGATTATCACTAGAAATAACAGTAAATGATTGACATCGGTAAGTTCCAAAGAAACGTCCAAAATTTCACTTTTCTGTCTGTAATCGGGCAGGTTTTTCTAAGACAGAAAATGGTTGGTTATACGCAGCAACCAAAATCAAATCAGTATTTACGACCTTCGTATTCTTCCTTTTCGCTCTGCGGGTTGATTCTTTCATTTTTCTTTTACTCGTTTTGCGTATGCAGGTGGCCCATCATTCTTTTTTCTTATTTCTAGTTTTGAGAGGGAAGAGAAAACCATCTATAATATTCATTCTTTGAGATCCATTCTAAAAAACCAATCTTAAAGACGACAGAAAGAGTAGTATTAACTAAAGATATGGAAAATGTCTTGGATACTTGGTGAGATCTCAGCGACAATAGGCGAGACTGCCATTGAATTACTGTTTGTTGTACTTCAAAGAGTGGAGTACTGTAGTCGTAGTTGCGATTTAATTTTCACTCATAATTGACGAAGTGCACCTTATAAGAAGAAAAGTTTCATAAGTGGATCAAGGTTTGTTACACGTATTTTGTTCAGAAAGTAAGGTAAAGAAGTAAGGTGCAATATAGATTAACATCGAATGTAGTAAGCAAAAATCGGTATCATTTTCATGGCAATTTTGCAATGGTATAGCAAGTCATATCAGTGTAAAGGCCATTCCAAATCCATGTGGAGCGGTCGGGAAAGGAACTGAGTTTGAAATGTAACAGTAATTAGGAGTTCTTCACTTTTACAAGTGAAATGTTTGGCGTCGTGATATGAACAACGCAAAATTTGGACTGTAAAAGCCTCGCCATACATTTCAAAACACTTGACAGTTGGGCTAGTACCATTTTTGTCGTACTCAAATGGTGTAGATGTTAGGAACAAGAACACTATTCTCTCTACCTAAGATTCCTTGTCTTTGCCATAATCTCTATGTAGACGTTGATTGGATGCCGAATAGCTCAGAATCCCACATTTAAATTTTCATGTTCTTTATATTTGCACTTGAAACTTTTTTCATAGTAAAGAAATTGAAAATAACCGGAAAAGAGACCATGCAGGCAGGTATAAATATTCTTAATTAATGTATTGCATGTAATCTTTGACATTTCGTCCTTAATCAGAACGAGATATTATTTAGGCTTATCATTACGTACTGTCTTGATCTACTGCATGATTTGCGTAACACTTCAAGATATCATTTGCTCAAGCGGTGCAAATAATTTGAATTCTATTATTGATTTTTCATACTTGAAGGATTCCAGATATTCGTATATTTCGTTCATTTTCTTATTTACGTAATGTCACGATATATCATGACACAATTTTCCAGTCTTTACTACATTTATTTTCAAAACTTGATTTTTATAAATTCTTCACTTCAAATTTTTGTGAAGAATGGACAAATTAGTCATTAGTAAATGAATTATTTTCTATAAATGTAATAAAATAAATGTTTAAAAACTTGAAATCTACAAAAAATATGATCTTTATTGAATAAATTTTATATATATATACAGAAAAAAATTTATCTATTTTTCTATCCACTAATTCTCATCGTTTTTTAAAATCCTACACACCACTTTTTTATTGTAGTGAAATACCATAGTAAAAATAGTTGCTAAAGCTTAATTAAACTTTTTCCCGACTATTTTTCTGTTCTGAAAAATATAAATTTGCATAGATTTCCCAAAAATTAACACAACCGTTGTCAAGGTTAAAGGGCATATCATTTGTATTGTGTAAGATGAGTATTACCTTTTTCCTCAATTTTCCTTTTTTAGTAACTGTCAATGGACGTAAATTTTTTTAAAGTTTAGCGTTAAATATGAATTAGATAATGTTCTCATGAAAATTTCACTTGACCCTTTTCTCCTGAGTGTTTCATTAAGAAAAATTTTGATTGACAAAGTGTAATCGGATAAAGATTCTTATTCAGAAGGGAGAAGTTTTTGCATGCTATAATAGCAATTGAAATAGAGAGTAAGTACGTGCAAATGAAATTTCAGTCGATTTCATACAATTATTAGGATTTATATTGTATATTTTTCGATCGATTTTTTTCCCAATATTTTTTTCACAAAACATTTTATCCAGCTTTTGACTTTACAATTTTACTATAAATTTGGTCTCTTTTCAGCGGAGTTTGTATTATTATTTGGGACGAGTGAGTCGGTCGGAGATCTAAAAAGATTAGTTTGAAGACGTAGTACTCTGTATATTGAAAAACGGTTAATAACCGAAAGCTATGAGTTGCAGTAGAGTTATGAATAGTCAGTTGTTCAGTCATATGTAATCTCAGCAGTCCCAACCAATGATTGATCTGAAATCATTTGAAATTACTCTCGTAATAAGGAGCCACCAGAATAGGAGATTGACCTCGTACATATGATATATATATTATATATTGTTTATCTGGTCACGTCGAGACATACATCCAATCGATAGTTCCCATAAAGACATCGAAAGCATCTTCGATACTCGTTATGGATTTCACGAGGACGAAGTGAAAACGATGAGCACAACAAATCTGAGCGCAGGACAGTTAAAGCCAGAGTGCCGGAATACGATCCAGCGCTAGAAGCAGTGAAGCGAAAACGAGAACTAACCTCCACATCTCATATATATAATCGTATGCAGAAGGTCGGAGATTAATCTTTTTTTTCTGTCTTCTTGATTCTCGCGTTAGATCGTTTTTCCGCACTCTCGCTGCTACTGACCCAGCATTCAATTCTGCTGGTTCCTGTACACTGGTTGAGTGCTTCCCCACGTCCTTCACGAAGATTTCTTCAACAACCTCACCTGTTCTCCATTTGTTTTCATTTATGATTCCAAGCTCGGTTTTTTTCCGCCTTTATCCTCCATTTCCTGCCTTCGTGCTTTGTAATGCGATCAAATAGCTGACAGCTCAACCGCTCGGCAGAGCAGAGCTGCCGAGTAGCAAACTGCTAGATATTCAATACATATACAATATATATATATATCGTTCTTTGAAACATAAATTTCTATTAAATTTGAACGAATTTCTTCGAAAAATGTAGTTTTGAATGTTTTGGATTGAGAAAAGTTTTATAATTCAAAAAAATTGCAGCATTTTAAAACTGTATAACATTTTTGACTGCCCAGTTGCGTTATTCGGGATGTTTTTTTCCAAGCTGCAGACCAAAATTTAGTTGCAGTTATCAAATTTTATCTGCTGTAATTGTTTGCTGGCTTCAAATTGTTGATCTTAATTACTCGTATCCTCTTATCCCTAATTTTTGCGTTTCATCCTTGATTTTACGTGCAATCATAGCGCACTTTCTTAACGAAAACTAAAATGAACAGGCAAAATTTTTTAGAAAGAAATATCCTGGAACAAAACGCATGGCTGGGAGTATTATTAGCACTCACCCATTCGTCAGCTCTGTATTTTGGATTTCTCACAATAAGAGAGAACATTTAAATGACTATAATTTACAAATATATGTCATTTAAA